TATGAGAATCTGCACCCAAATAGAACATGTTGCATGTAAATTGTCTTCTAAGTTTTTAAATTTTGGTATTTTTAAAAATTTGCTAGGTTTGAAAACAACATTTAAATATGAACACTAAGCTGTAATACAGAATACAAAATTTTGAATGAAATGTGGTTCTGTTTATAGTAATCCTATTCCAGTTTCACAAAAAACATCAAATCATAGGGGGAAGGGAGGAAAAGGGCTAATCATGAGCTCGGCTATATAATTTGCACACTTAATATGCACACATCCAAATGTCCTGGATTTGTTTCTAGCATGCATTTACCAAACAGTGTTTTCTTCAATATTGAAAGATACCTATTTATGTAGAATAAGCACAGCTAACCTGTTATAAAACCAGATTAGAAAACCTGTTTGGAACAAATGAGTTACAAGTTAGGCATAAGTAAAGGAGCCTGTAATTTGAAAATGTTTATATAATCTAAGAAGAAACTTGATGAGTTTGTCTAACTAATGTGCAGAGCAAGGATGAAAACTGTAGATTCTGCTAGACTGATTTCTGGTAAATCTTGACAATCTGGTTTGCAGCAAATTCTAATACTGTCACAAAATGTTAGGATCACGTTATTAAATTCAACTAGTAATGTGACCTGATTGGAATAGCAATCCTTATCATGGCACAAGAACTTAAACATGCAATATAACAGTTCTGAAGATTGGTGATAAAAGTAATCCTTCATAGCAAAGTGAATTATTAAGGATTATGGGTTTAAATTTACTTTCTATTACGAGAAAGAATCTAAATTATTTGCTAGCATTTCAGTGATATTGTTAAGCATTTCTGTATTTTGTTTTGAACAGTTTAGGAGCTTGCATAAAATTATATTGGCTGATTTTTTTCCCCTTTGATATATGCAATAATGTCAATAAGCAATAAATTGCATGTTGTATGCAAGGTATTGGTACATCATAATAAAGGAAAGGAAAACAGTTTCTTATTTTGTGATTTTTTCTTTCTTAGTATGGTAAGACCTTGTGTACCTATAATGAGTACGTCATGAAAGAACAGTTTTGGGGGGGTTAAATTCTGAAACAACTGGCTTTTATGGTATCTTGAGATTTCATGCTGTATCTTATATATTTTAAAGAAGGTGAAGATGGGTGTATGAGGTCTAAGCCCCACTGTTGCTCAGGTGGCTGGAATTTTGAATGCTGAAATTCTATGTAGGACATCACTGGGGGCAGGAATGTAACTTAAACTATAAATTTGTGTATTGGGCAATTGTATATTATGTAAATTTGTGTATTGGGGAAGAACTTTTGGATTGGATAGTATAATTCAATTGCATTGTCTTGCAATACCATGTGTGTCAGGGCATAGATTGAACAGTTTTCTGAAGGCTCTGGGGATATAGAGCTGCTGTTGTCAGCATATTATAAATATGATGCACTACACAGTCCCTTACTGAATACTAAGATGGGCAATTAAGTTCCTCAGTATGGCAGTTCCTAGGTTCTATATGTGCATGGAAGCATGAATTGTGTGGTAAAGCCCACAGGTTTCTTTGAGCATCCCTAGAGATTGCTGCTGTTTTATATCTTAACCACTGGCTTCAAGCACAGGTTTCTTTGGGTTTTCTTGTGTTATGCAGTGGTTAAATTGCTGGAAGAAAACACAAAGCAGTCAGTGTCTTTACTTTTTTTCCTTTCATTTTTGAAGGGTATTTACTTGCGTTTGTAAATTATATGCTTAAAGTACTAGTTTTACACTGCTAGTGTAGTAAACTACTCATTAACTAATGGGTCTGTTAGAAAGTGAGTGGGAGTTTCTGGGAACAGATATTCTTTGGGGTCAGATGCTATATAGGTCAGATTTCCAACTGCTTGAGGAAGGAAAATGGGGCTTGGTAGGAGGCTTTTGTATTGGCACTAGGCAGCTTTTAACACTGAATAGTGGGAAGGAAGGACTGAGCATGGCTGGGAACAAGGGATGCATTTAGTGAGCCATTCTCAACACATCTTGCTTAACGTGTGAGAAACATTATCTCTCCCTAAGATGTAGGATATAGGAAGTATTTTTTATATCCACTTCTTTGTCATATTTGAATGCACAGGTGCTTTTCATTTTCTCCCCAAATTTTTTTTATTACTCTTTGTATTCTTGCTGAAAACTTTGGTTTCTCTCCTCATATTGGTGTGATAATTTTGCACTAAGATTAAAAAAATTCAGTCTTTGCAATGGATATCTGTCATATTTTAGAAGGTGGGGTACTGTGGTGTCTTCTTTTGCTCTGCTTTTCTGGAGTTCAGAGTGCAATATGCCTATAGGTAGACTCTGCTTCATTGAGATTGGAACCTTGGTGTTCTTTGTAAAGAGGCCTTTACATTGAGTAAAAAAATTTTTGCTACCTGGCTCATCTTACAGCGAGTAAAAACCATTATCTATACAATGACTAATAGTGCAGTTGTTGCTTCTGGTGGAGAGTGATGGTGGAAGCAGGGAGATGGCATACTGACATCTGCAGCATTATGTACTTGGAGAGGAAGGAGTAGAAGCAATTTTCCATTTGAGAACATCAGGGAGAGAAAATCTGTTTTACCATAGAGTCCTTCTGCCACTGACTTGAAATATTTAGAAGTAGAGATTTCAGTTGCTCTGTGGGAGGATCTTATTAAACAGTGTTGTTAAGTGAAGACAGGATGGGTGACTTGTGGCTCTTCAACCTGGAGAAGAGAAGGCTCTGTGGACGCTCCAGAGCCCCTTCCAGTATGTAAAGGGGCTACAAGAGAGCTGGAGAGGGACCTTTTACAGAGGCATGTCGTGATGGGACATGGGGGAATGGCTTTAAACTGAAAGAGGGCAGGTTTAGATTGGATGTTAGGAAGAAATTCTTCTCTCTGAGAGTGGTGAGACACTGGAACAGGTTGCCCAGTGAAGCTGTGGATGCCCCTGTTCAAGGCCAGGTTGGATGAGGCTTTGAGCTACCTGGTGTAGGTGTCAGGAAAATTAATCCACAAACACCAGAGGTGTATGTCCAAAAAGGAGACAGAGGAGTCCTGTAACTTTACTCAAATAAAAGGAGAGGTCATGGCGCAATCCCATGGAGTCTCTCAGAATTTTTAGGGGATGCAGCCTCCTTTTTATCCTAATTTTCTGGCTGCATTTTTCCTCTCTCTTTCCCCATTGGCTGAGGTACTTCAGAGGTACAGACTCCCTGAAACACCTCATACCCCCCACCCCATTTTTCTTTTTCCTTGTGTCTCCATTCTTTTTCTCTAAATCCAGAGATTTAGCACAGTCTTGAGTGAGTAGCAGACTGTGTCAATTAGTGGAATTCCTATGGAATTTATGGTTCCCCCTGTTGCTTTTTTCACCTCTCTATCTGGCTATATTTACCATCAGGCCCACAGTTTGTTTGCAAAGACACCTCCTTCTCATTCCTTTCATGGGGAAGATGTCCCTGCCTATTGCACAGGGGTTGGAATGAGAGGATCTTTAAAGTCCCTTCTAACTCAAACTGTTCTGTGGTTCTGTATGTGTAGCAAGTAAAGACTTAAAATGATTGTTTAGTGCTGCTTACACAGCTGTTACTGTGGGTGTAGTCTTGGATACTGCAGTAAAGCCAAATATGCCTAAACTGGGAAATAATGGAGGCAATCAGAATGTTTTCCAGGGCATACAGTAGAGATTCAGTTAATGACATAATGCTAAATTTCTATCTTAAAGTTCTCAATATGCTGTGCTAATAATTCCTGCATGTAGAAGGGGTAGAAAATAATTTCCTCTGAAGTAATCAAGACTATAAAAGGGCAAAAATGACTGAAAGGATGAATATTTGGTATTGCTTTATACTTGTGTTTTTATTTAATGTTCATACTGAATGGCAATGTCCTTGTTAATAAGAAAGATCCTACTTTCAAAGATGGCATGTAAAAGTTATCTTAAAAACACTCTTGAGAGGAATATATAAAAGCTTTTAAAATTCAGGTAGTTATATATTTTGAAATACTGCTGCTTAGGACTATTTCATTGTGGTTTAGAATTTGTCTTCTTTGAAGGAAATGGGAGAGAATCACTCATTTCTGTATGTACCTTCGCCCTTCTTCCACATAAGAATTTGGATTTTCTTCACCCTAAACTACTGTAATAACTATGTCACTTGAAGATTAAATTCCTTTCTCCTTCAGATCTATTTTTAGTTGTATGAAATAGAATATTTGGGAAAAAACTATGGTTATATTTTAATCAGTTCTAATTGTTATACATTTATAACAAATGTTTCTAAGCTCCCCACCTGCTTTTTGCATTTGACAGCCTGTTTAGAGTCCACGTGGTGGGATGAACATTGAAATAGGCCCGTGGGGTTTGTGCATACTGTTACAGCCGGGTCTTAGCAGTTGTTGGTCAAAAGGGGATGCGATGAAGGTAGAATTGATGCACAGTGAGCTCCATCTTCTGTGTGTTATGCACGGCACTTCACACACACAGGTAAAAAGCAGCTTCTGGCTTGGAAATAAGGCAGTATTCTCAGGAAATATTAAAAGAGCTGTGATACTCTTCTTGGCTAGTTGATGTTTAAAAACAATCTTAAATAACTTTGCTATCTCCGCAAGTTTAGTACTTGGATAAAAAGGATACACCTTTACGGTATCGGTGCGTGCTGCTAGTACCTGGGGGATTCCTTCTATACATAAGCAGTTATTTGCGGTTGTAAGGGGCAATGATTTCACAAACAAGCCCCCAGCACGGGGTACGAGCACAGGCAGCTCTCGCTGGCCTCGCTTCGCACCGTTCGCTGTCGCTGGCAGGTTCACACCCAGCTCGTGGCCCCTGCCCTGCGGGCCCTGGGCAGCCCAGCGCTGGCCGAGGGCGCAGCCCCGGGGCCGGTGGGGACCCAGCCCTGTGCCTGGCGGCAGGAGGAGCCCCGGCGGCGGGCGAGGAGCGGGGCTGGGCGGGGACCCGGCCCCGTGCCCGCCCCCGCAGCCCCGGCGGCGGGCGGGACTTGGAGAGGAAGCCCGTGCCCGCCCCCGCTCCCGCCCCTCGCCGGCGGGCGCAGGCGTGCAGTGGAGCCGCGTTCTCGCGAGGCGCTCGGGGCCGGCGCGGGGGCGCGGGCCGGGCCGGGCCGGGCGAGGTGAGGTGAGGAGAGGAGGATGAGGAGGCGGGTGCGGAGGATGTGCGGTGGGCAGAGGGCAGCGGCAGCTCCGGGCTCCGCGGCGCTGGGAGGCGGGCGCTGAGGCGGTGCGGCCGCCGGGCCGCGCAGAGGGGCGGGCCTGGCCTGACCTTGCGGGTCGGTCGCGGCGGGGGCCGCTGTCCTTCACGGCGTGCGGGCACAGCCCCGACGGGGACCGTGAGGAGCGCCTGGGCAGGAGCTCGGGGCAGCCCTGCTAGGGGCTCGGGTTTTTGTTTGGGCTGGAAGCTTATTACTTAAATCGGTTTTTCGGTTAATTTTTTAATTTGTGGTGCAGCACTGCACCTGCACTTGGCGTTCACTTTAATAAATAGCCAGTGTAGTTTTGTGTTACGAATGTTTGCTCTCTTTTTCTTTAGAAATTTAATCTTAAAAGGCCCGTTGTGCAGAGGCCATGGGCTTGTCCGCATCCTCCCCGGCTGCCACAGAGCAGTCACCAAATGCATCCAGGCAATACCAGACGGCGTCTCCACCTTCAGAATGCCCCATGCATCAAGAAAAAATGAGCGGTAATCATTCTTCAAACCTAAATGAGCTAAACTCTACATGGAAACAAGACTGAAAAATCTTGGGAGGTGGGGAGGCAGAAATTCTTCAAATAAACTTGAGGTTTTTGCAAGTCATTCTCAAGTAAATTTTCCTTAGGAGGAGTCAGTTGTTCACCAGAACACTGTGCCAGGTGCTTTGTTTGTAGAGACAGGAGGTGCTTACTGTAGAACCGGTGGGTCACTTCCAGTTGTCCCGTTTCCCAGGGACCCTGCAAATCAGTTCCATGGTGTGGTACAGCCACAGAGGGTCAGGGAGCCCTACAGAGATGGTGACGCGTTGTCACTAAAAACCACGCGTCCAGAAAAGGGCTGCAGAAGGGTGCAATGAGATGAATGCCTGGAGGAGATCAGCTCTTCTGTTGCCTCAGTCAATGCACTAGCTCAGCTTCTCTGAGGAAGTCTTCAGTACAAACAGTTCAGTATTGGGACCAGGATGGGGGGTACGAAATGAGCATTCAGAGACTACACAGGAAACTCAGAATCATGATTTTGGGACCTGAAATACAGGAAAGAGAGCAGTCAAAACTGTTGAAAAGCTCAGAAGAAATAGTGAAATACCCATTTGCATTTACATGAGCCTTCAATGAACTTTTCCATTTCATGTGTTAGAGTTTTCATCTTGTAGCAAAATGTGTACTACTGTTGTGTTTAAGGTTGTCCAATGCACATGAAGACTGCTGATCATAGAACTGAGAACACAGATGATGTTCCTGCACATCAAGAAAGAGCTTATGAGTTTGTAGCATGTCCTGTGAAATCTGGTGCAGCTCAAATGAAAGATGATATAGATCCCAGCAATATGGTAACTTTTGCTTACTTCACATGTTTAGTCTTCTTTCTTCTGAAGTATTATACCCAAAAATGTAAATAGTGTTCCTATGTAAGCTGGAAACTTTGGGAAATAACATTATTTGTTTTATTTTTAGGACTGCTTTTTCTCTTTTTTGTGCAATTTTTTATTTAAAAACAAGTGACATCTTATTTAACACTGTATTAAAATTTGCATCTCTGCTGGTTTTCCTATTTTTAAATATCTTTTGCCCTCTACTTACTAGTTACATAAATGTTTTTTATGATACATTGTTGGATTTTAGATTCTGTGTAATAGCAGTGTGATTGAGTTTTGATTAGCATCTCCAAGATTTCCTCTAATTTACAAAAAAGTATTGCTCTTTTGAAAATTGAAGTTTAGGCAGAAAGCTTTCCTGTAGTCTCCTGATGACAAACTTGTGCAAAGAGTTCTCCTGCAGAAAAAGATCATTTTGGTGGAATTAAGTAAAGGCTGAACTTCTTGATCTTTGTAGGAGTTGATTGATCATGCTTTGGTTTTTCTCTTAACTGTGTAACTTACTAAAATGCTAATACTCTAGTTTATTGTTGGTTCTCCTTGTTCTGTAGATGCCTCCTCCCAATCAGCAGCCATCTCCAGGTCAACCATTTCCATTGTCAACTGTTAGAGAAGAATCTTCCATTCCTAGAGCACATTCTGACAAGAAATGGGTCTATCCTTCAGAGCAAATGTTCTGGAATGCTATGCTAAGAAAAGGGTAAATACACTGTGAATTATCAGATGTGTCTGTGAGCCTGGAATTAATCAACTAGTATCATTAGTTATTGTTCATTTTTCTTTTTCTTTTTTTTTTTTTTTTGAGAGTTTGTGGATTTTAACCAGTAAATAATAAAGTAGCTCTTTAAAAAAAGTACTATTCTTATAAACATCTTTATATTTTAAAGGGTGAGTTGGTCTCAAAGGCCATGTGTCTTCTAGTGATCAGGAGGATGGTAAAAAATGTCAAGCAACTGCTACTGGCTAAGTACTGGCTAAGATTTTCTTAGAAGTCCATGCACAGGTGTAGACAAAGTTTGCATGATTGCAGTCATGCCAACTGCATGATTGCCTGTTGGTTTCATGCTCATGCTGTAAAATGACAGTAGAAGTTCTATGTGAGAACATCGAACTTTGCAGAATTGCTAAAACTGGGGAAATTTGCAAGTAGATATTTTTGGTATTTACAAAAATTTAGCGTAGGCAAGACTAAAATTCCTCCTGTGATGATATTTCCTTGTTCTTTTGTAACAATTTGTTTGTCATTCTCTAACAGGTGAACTTCACAGGTAGTTTACTTTCGGAGCAATAGTAATTTTTTTTTCTACGTGTCAGTATGGTTCATAACACAATATGACATAAGCAGCCTGTATGGAACATACAAATTTGGCTCCTGTAAACACTGAAATGTGTTAGTGTTTTGCCAGTTGAAAAGGAAGCACACATGCAGTCAAAATGCGGTGTCAAGAGAGATGGAAAGTATTTCTAAGTGTTTGCAAAATTGTAATGAATACAGTGTATTGAATACAGGACTTCTGTGCATTAGGAATGCAAGTGGGATTTTTCCTAAGCATTTTTTTATGAATACTGTAGATGTGGTGGTGTTTGCACACTCTGATAACTTTCTGATCCAGTTAAGCTGTTAATTTGGCTATGTAGAATTTGTGAATCTCTGTGGTGATACGTTGGATAACCACACTTCTGCACAGAAAATGAAGTGGTTCTCAGGATGCTTAAGCAGATGAGCCAGAAGTTTGCATACTTGTCTTGTGTCTTGCATACAGCCTTAAATCTTGATTCAAAGGTTGATCAGATAAATCTAGGAAGGTAGGGTAGTTATGCTGTAATGTTTATAAACTGTTTTCAAGTTCTTATTTTTTAGGTGGAGGTGGAAAGATGATGACATAACAAGTGAAGACATGACCAACATTATTAAGATTCATAATCAAAATAATGAGCAAGCTTGGAAGGAGATTTTGAAGTGGGAAGCTCTGCATGCTATGTATGTACCTGTGAAATGTTGCATATGGAATATTTGTTATGACAAAGCTATGAGTTCTAAAGATTAGCATGACTGGTGTAAAGCAGACTGTCACTTTTTAGATCAGCATAGTTCCTGTTCCTACAAGACACAGACTAGTTAAGCATTTACACATTTTTCTCTGAAATTCCATGATCGTTTTTACACAGTAGTTTGGATTATGGTTTTCTATTCTTTAATCTATTAAATCTGTGGATTAGGTTTGCAGAGAACTGCTTTGTTGACAAATTAGAGCACTGGTGTGGAGCATATCAGGGGTACTTTATCATACCAGCAGGAAGTGCTGACAGAAAGTGGGTGACTTTTGAAAGCTTGAAAAAAAGGAAAAAAAGTTGGGTTATATCACTTGTAATTAATTTTTTACTGTTGTTTTCTTCTACTAAGTTTCTCTGTTGCTAAAACAAATTACCATAGTGGTTTAATCACTGAAAATAAGACTGTGTTAACAGGTGAAAACTCTTTTAATTGTGTGCACAGGGAATGTCCATGTGGGCCATCACTGATGCGGTTTGGAGGCAAAGCAAAGGAGTACTCGCCAAGAGCCAGAATACGTTCATGGATGGGGTACGTGGGTAGGGAAAAAGGTCTTTCAGTGAGATGGGAGGCTGGAGAAATGTGTCTGAAAACATGGTGTGGAATTAATTTAAAGATGTTTCAGAACAGGTACTGCAAGTTAGAATTGCCAGAAGATAGAAGTACTAGTGGGATCTTACGGACAAATAAATCTTGGACTCCCTCTCCCATCCCCGATTCATAATGTCCATTGAAATACCATTAAAAATGGGCTGTTCCCTGTCCTCTCCAGGTACGAGCTGCCCTTCGATCGGCACGACTGGATCGTTGACCGCTGTGGGAAGGAGGTGCGCTACGTTATCGATTACTACGACGGCGGAGCAGTGGACAAGAACTACCAGTTCACCATCCTGGACGTGCGCCCTGCGCTGGACTCGCTCTCGGCCGTCTGGGACAGAGTGAAGGTGGCCTGGTGGCGCTGGACGTCCTAACTGCTCCTGGGGTGTGTACTCGCAAAGTAACCACTTTCCTCCTAGACAATGGACGTGTGAATATCAGGACTTGAGATAGAAGTTCACTGCAGCTGTCGTTGCTTTCATCATCACCACTCTTCTTTGGGGGTGGGAAGGGAGGACAGGGAAATCTTTCCTCAAGTACACCAATGCTTTGTGGTGTTTCAATGGAATAATAAAGTTACAGTGGCAAAAACATGTATCTTAATTTTCTTAAGAACTGGGAAGCCTTTCTTACTTCGTCTCAGATTGTGCGTAAGCTCGCCTTCTTGCCATTTCATTACTTCAGTGCTGTTCTAAATACATTGCAGTGCTGTTTCTGTCTGGAGTTTGGAGTATTACTTCATTGTTGAAAACTGGAAATTTCATAAATTATTTCACATATTTAAAGTATTTGGATACCTCCATGATGAATAAAGGGTAAAATATCTGGACTCTTTCAAATTGCATGTTTTATTTACATAATAAAACCATGTATTTGTTTTCACATGGACATTTTACCTATTCAAATACATACTTCCTCAGAAAACTTCAGTTAATTAGTTAAAGGAGGTGTAGTGTGGTACGAGTATTTTAAAGGTATGTTATGTAGAAAAGGAGAATACACTCATGCCTTAATCTGCAATTTTTCTTTGAACTGAAGAATACCTGTTAGAAGCAGGAAATGAGTTTCACTTTTAAAACAGCATTTCTAAAAGGACAAAATTGATATTTAATGGCTATTTATTTGAATATTTAAAAGGTGGTTTTCTGATATAAGAAAATACATTATTACAGTGTTTTCCTGTCCATAATGTGTGACATGTAATGAATTCAGGACAGAGCTAAGTCTTATTTAAAGAACCTCCTGCAGTGCATCTGCATTTGGCATGCTGGCTGCATTAATGATATTTATTACAGCATGGTTTTTTTATATAATAAGGGGTTGCACAAGGGGTTGTGACTACACTGCCACACACGTGAGTATAGTGAGGTGTATTGCAGGTGTGTACATGACTGGGCTAAAAGGGTATCAAAAGTGCCAAGGGAGGAGGTTGAGGAGTGTTTTCTAAGGGTAATGCATGGCGTGAAGATTTGATTATTGTTTGTGCTTAGTAAGGGAAATTAACTTTTTAAAGTCTTCCACTGTAATGGCTTTAAGTTTGCACAACTCAGTAAGCTTCAGGTGCTGTGCAAAACACTTGGGAATGGAAAGGAGTAAGAGAAGAGCACATTGTACCTTCTCAAATGGGGGAAGCTGCCTTCTTGAAACTCCCCAACCTTAACGGGAAAGTAGCTGTACATTTCATTTTCTGAAAGTGGCCTGTGTTTAACTGACTCTGGAACCTTTCCCTTTCCCTTTCCTTTTTTCTTTTGATAGGAAGCCTCTCTTAATGTTTCAGGAAAGTCACCTCCCATTTAGGGAAAAATTAGTCAGGGAATCTTTCCTACTTTGGAATTCTAATGATCACGACTAGTTCCCACTTCAGAGGCAACTGTTGTGCATGGTAGGAATAAATATTATCCAGAATCCTAAGAGGAAAACCATGCTCTTACCCATATGCACTTTGCTCATTCCTTTTTCACCTTTTCAGTGATACAGATATATATATGTATATATATATATATATATAAATGATAAATGGTAAAAATTCCATCTAAATAGGCAATATATAGATGAGATAAATGAAAATAGAGTTTGTATGAAGCAAATGAAGGAACTGACTAGTGAAGGAATTGCTCTGTTCTAACAGTAAAGACAGGAGTACTGTAAAGATTGAGGAGTACTCTTCTTAGGGTGGTGGGTTGTTTTCCTTTGGGATTATTTTGGTAGTTGTTAGTTTATGTATTTGGCAACTTGATACACTGAGGATTCGTATTTCTCAAAACTAAATGTGGAAAGGCTTACACCACTGCAGGGAGTACTTCAGAAGCTTCAAAAGCAGGAGTTTGCTTTGTTGATTTCAGCAGTGTGATGTTGAGAGTGTGGAAATTGTAATTGCTGCTAAATCTGGGGAACCTGTCACAAGCCACTTCATGTGTTTACTATCTCCTGTTACGTTCCATCTACCACTGATTCAAAATTGTTCTTTTCTCTGCTACTGTTAATGAAATGTATTACTTTGTCATCAAACTAAAAGGAGAATCAAATAAATATACTTTTCTTAACTTCGGTATTTGGTGATCTTTGCTTTGAGCTGTAAGAATTATTAAAATGAGCTTTTACTTATGTCATTTGAGATTCTAGTCTGTTACAACTAAAATCTTGCTATAGAGTATATATTTGATATTGTTAGTATGTATTATTGTATATTACTACAACTTAACTATTGTCACATCTTTGAATATATTCTTACTCATTTTTCAGGTGAATACAAAACCAAAACCCAAGGTCTAAATTTAACTGTTTGCTAACTGAAACAGCAGTTCTCAGAATAAGAGCAAATGACAAAAAATAGATGCATCCTGAGTATGACTAACTTGAGAGGAGTGCAAAGAAATAAAAAAAAAAAAACTCCTTCAAGACTAAGTGAAAATAATTAATTTCTACAAGCAGTAAGACTTAAGAAAGTAAATGGGAGTTTTCTTCTTTAGGCTTGGGTTTCCTGATGCATGATGCATAGATGTTAGAATTAAAATTATAATTCCAATGTAAATTTGAAAAACAGTGATATAAATTGTGCTTTTTTTAATCCTTAGGAAGGATGTTTTAACTAAATAGTTTAACTAACTAATAGTTTAACTAACTATTGTTCAGGCTATATTAAAAGAAATGTGTGTATATACATAAATAAATACATCTATATCCTTTTTTTGTAAGTATAGGAAGGTATGCAGAGTTCATGAGCCCAGGAAAGTGAAGAAGTATCCTGATCAAGTCCTTTCAGGGAATTCTGCAGTGATACCAGGTTCCCATTTGTGGTCAGGCTGAAACAGAATTTTGGAACCCATCTCAAATTGAGGTTAACCTTGTGCACATTCCAAAGGGAAAATGCAGACACTTGCTAAAGAAAGGCTGCTTCTATAATTAGTTCTGTATTTAGATATCTAAAGTTCACCTGCATTCTGCTTTACTGTATCAAAGCCCTGCTTGACCTATTGTGTTTGACTCTTGCAGATGAAACAAGTTAGGGGTGCCCTCCTGGCCTGCCCTGAAGATGTGTCCTTAAGGGTGTCGCAGTGCCCAGAAACTGCACTCTGGGACTGGTGGAAAAAAAACTCCAGCATAACATTCCCAGCTGTAATCAGGCCTTGGTCATGCACATGAAGTCAGGAGTGGTTCTGACCATGATTTCCTGGAGCAGGAAGCCCTTCTGCATTCAGGTACGGGTTTTGGCTCCCCTGCGCTGGGGTGCCTGGCACTGCTGCCACTCCACAGAGGCACCAGGCTGCCTGCTCTGCCTCCAACACCCTCCCTGCTCAGTCACGAGGGACAGCTCTCTACTCTTCTGCAGTTTGACCTGTTAGTATCTGGCCAACATGAGTGCTCTGTAACGGGAGTAATTCAGAGGCTGATCTTTCTGGGATGTCTGGAGTTCCTTACTCTCTTGAGTCATCCTGCATTTTTCCCTTGGAGGCAGTTTGGAAGGGGGAGCTGTAGCTCTTCTATCACTCTTCATGTATTTTTTCCCCTGCCCCCTAGAAACACCTTTGCTCCTTCCTTTCATACTATGCTCATGTCCTAGCTTCAATCCCTGTAAGAATTTTTCAGCTAAGCCTTAAAATGTCTGCCCTGCTTTGCTGTAAAAGAAAGAGACTGTGTTGCTGTAAGATAGTTGTGTCCATTCTTGATTATTGCTACTTTCTACTGCCAAAGCAAAGTGTTCTGGATTACCACTTTTGAATTATGAGGTGAAAGAGGCATGCTAGTTTAGTGTGAAATTGTGTCTAGTGTTTACATAATTTATTTACCATCAGGACTTTAATGTGCTCTGTAAATTTGAAGTCTCAAATGCACTGATGAAGACTGTTCTGCTTTCAAAAGGTGTGAGAGTGACAAAGGACCTCTCAGTGCTCTGAAAATGGTCATAAATAGTCTGTCATCTTACACACTCCCATTGTATTTGTTCCACTCTTGTATCAAAGTGTGGGGGAAGAGGAGCTAATGTGCCAAATTGCAAGGGATGAAGGCAGATACGTTGCTGTAGCTCAGCAGCTAAAAATGAACTGCCAGACTAAGAAGCACTTCCTAATATTTGGACTTCTACTAAAGTTTGTTTTGTATAGAGGGTAGAAATGCTTCTTTCAGAGCCATCACTTTTTAGAGACATCTGTTCCCAGCACTTACTAAATGATATGGCACGCTAATTCTCTGTCTCCTTTGCTTACACCTGGAGGAGAATCCATGTAGTAAGTTTCCACAAGCCAATGTACTTGATGTGGAAGCCTGAACTTTCTGAGGATAGAATATACTACTGGATGCTAGATGTGCTTATCTCTTCAGTATCATACCCTTCCCTACCCACAAGTATCTTTACATATGTTCTTTTTAAAAATGCACAGGATTGCTAGCTTTTTACATATGTTCTTTTTAAAAATGCACAGGATTGCTAGCTTTTTACAAATTTTGAGTAGGCAACTTCATGCATTTTTACTCTCACTGAAAGAAAATGTATTCTGTTTATCATTCTACCTTTGTACAAGGTAAATTGCATGCTAAGATCTTTATGCAGTGAATCAAGTAAGTATTGATTCTCTCATCAGTGGAATCTATGGTCATATTAGACATGTCAGGTCATAAAAAGCAACCATTTTAGTTTGCATTAGAGGGCTAATCACTTTTATGTGCTTCTCCTTCAAGAAAAAAATGGCTTGTCAAACTCCTAAAGGAAGAATTTTATATTCTTCTATGAATGTGACAGTTACATCTATTTGGTCTTAGTACTTGTACATCACATTACATAGAAACTTCTGGGCAGAATACTGAACTCCAGACCTTACCGTGGGGCCTTGGCCGTGTGTGAAATGACACATTATTACCAGGGAGCTACGGATTCTGATGGCAGCTCCCCACAATATGGATCTGCCTGTCTACAGTGTGGGTACATACTTCTGACTGGAGTCAGAATAAATCCAATTTTCAAAGGATTATGTAAGTTTATTGTAAGTATTAGGATAGTTATTAGGCTTCATTAATAAAATTTAAAAGATTAGATTATTTCTTTTGCTGATGTTCAGTTTGGACCATGGCCTCTCTCATAAAAGAGAAACCATCACATTTATTTTCTACATATTATGGAAAAAGAAAAGACTGTCATGTTTTTTGTTTTCCAATGTAATGCCAATTTTGTGGTAACTACAGAAAGTTTTAGCTATTTTGCTAACATGCTGCTGTTCTTGCCTCCAGCTTCTGAAGACTATGACCCCATAAACCTCCCGTCTGCAGAGATAGCTAATGCTTTAATTGATCATTAGTACACTTTCAAAATGAGTTTCCATCTGCCAAAAGATTAAGTGTCTCAGGGAATTGACTGAGAGCAGTTTGATGCACGGAGGATAAATGCAAGTGCCTTTAAAAAGCACTGCTAGATCACAAATCCTTGAAAAACTTGTTTCTAAAATACTTACAAGGAAAAGTAATAGGAAAGGTTTTTCCTCTGCTTTGTTTTTCCATCAAATTAAGTATTTTTTATATATCATTGATAATTTGTTACCTCATTTTCAAGAACTGAAAAGCAAAACCTCATGAAAATGCTGAATTTAACCTTACAGCAAACCATGCAATTTTTGGCAGCTTTAATTTGCAATGTAAATTTTTTGTTAAATAGGTTCATTTCAACTGTAAAAAAAAACCAAAAAAAAAACACAGGGAAAAAAAAAGAAAACTTTTCCATTAGCTGTACTTAAGAATATTAGGAGAAAAATACTTCCATGTTTAATAATGTATTTTCACAATTACTGGGACTGCTTCTCTTTCTGTTTTCTTCAAGCTTTTGCCTTAGTTTATTTGGAGAGATTTTTACAGGTTTTCTGTTGGTTTCTCTCTGCCATTTTTGTACAAGGCACTTTGGGCAAGACTTCCACCACTGCAACAGCACTTAAAGTTGTTATGAGAGAAATGGTAGCTTCTTTCTCAGGCCTGTGAAAAAGCAGTGCTATTTAACTCAGGTAAGGACAGTTCTGGCTCTGCCATTCTGGCTGCATTAGAGCTGGCAGCACTGTTGTATCTGAAAATATGGACACTGAGCTGTCCTGCAGCAGTGCCAAAAGGCAGAGGTGTTGCTCTGGTCAGCTGTCACCTTTGCTGTGGTTATGGGTTCCTCATTAATGTTGGTCTTGTGAACCCCAAATGGGCAACTTAGGGACCTCTAGACTTCCCAGTGTCCTTAATGCCTTCTGGGGGTGTGCTTTTAGCACTGCCTGCAGTTACAATCAAGGAGGTGGCAAAGGGGCTGGCATAGAATTGATGGTAAAAAGATACAGATGGATCTTCCAAATTTACTTTTTTCCAAATGTCTGTCTACTCCTGTGGGAGGATGGATTACAGAGGAATAAAAGATAGTGCTAAAGGCACTCTCACCCCTGAGGAGTTGTAGCTGTGCTAATTACTAGGGATTAAGAACAGGCCTGCCCTTTATAGGCCACAGGTATCTCCAATGAGGCTGAGTGTCATAAAAGGGTGGGCTAGCTAGTTGAGAGAGATGGAGTCAGCTGGCTGTGTTGTGGCAAGGAGGAAGGAGTCAGCTGGCTGTGAGGAGTTGCCCAGGAGATAGCATAAAGAAGGTATGAAAGTTTTATAGTATGGTAGTGACATATTCCTCCTCTGATTTGCTGCTCAGGTTAGGGGAAAAACTGGTCCAAATGTACCATTTTGTATATATTCACTAGTGGTTGTTGAAGCAACACCTGGCTGAGGCTGTAACTATGGTGGGTGGAAGGCAAAGGATACTGGTTTTGCAAATAACCCTGGGAAGAGTAATCTAACCTATGTATGAAAGGTTGCATTCTCTTTGCCTTGTCAGGCAAAGTGGAAGATACTGGTGTCACAATCATTCTGTGACAGGATGTTGGAACCGGTTTAATATAGGCTGACTAAGAAGTGAAACTTTTCTTTTTTGATTTTATTTGCTGCATGTTGGTGGGAAGTATCCATTTAGAGAATGTGGCTAAAATTCTATCAAACACTTCAATGCTTGAAGAAATAAAGAGGGGAAATAAGATCTTGACTT